ACCAAATTAACATTTATCAAATATCCTCCAATATTTTGCAAAATATCATAAATTGTAAAGAAACTATTCTGAAGTGCATAAATATTCAATATTTCCCAACTATAACTTAAGATGTGTCTTATATATAAAGTGATATTTTAATTGAAATGATGGGATTGTATGAATAAAACAATTTGATCTTAATTTAATTTTGCACCTGCAAAATAATAATATGCAATTGCATTAAGTTTGATATATCATCTGAGGTGAAATGTGAAAATATCTATAAATTATTTGTTTTTAGGGTAATTCATTCTTTATTAACATTCAAGGAGATATGTCAGATGACAAAAAGACCTGCCATCGACTAGTGCTCGAGTTCATCAGTGATAATCATAAACGGCACAAGTATGGTCGATCTGCATATAAAAACTAACAAATACATGTGACTGTATATTTTTTAAACAATATCAATCATGTGAATACTTTTTCTCTAAGTGTGTATCATAATTATATGGATGATGTAGAGTGTGACAGGACATGGGTAACGTTATAGTGCTAATGATACAGTGTAGATGAATATTTTAACATGTTTTGAATATTTAGCCGTAAACTATACAAAGTCTGACGGAAAATGTTGGACAAATAGGAAACGATCGAATGATTTATCGTTCTACTTAGTTATTCAAGTATGTTAAGTGCGATGTTCAATTTTAAACAAGAGGCGAGTTCAAAATAAATAGAATGCAATTGATATAATTAGTTAAATATGAAAAAGATATATTTATGAATGTACACTCATATTTCAATTTCATTATTGTATTTCCATCTCAAAGGAATGATTTGATTAATAAATTTGGTTTTAAATGGTCCGCTTAATTCAAGTTTCAGTGAATGGTTTTGGTTTTAAATGGTCCGCTTAATTCAAGTTTCAGTGTATGGTTTTGGTTTTAAATGGTCCGCTTAATTCAAGTCTCAGTGTATGGTTTTCTATAACACATATTGTGAAGTTTCAGTGTATGGTTCTCTATAACACATATTGTGAAGTTTCAGTGTATGGTTTTCTAAAACACATATTGTGAGCACGCTTAGTTCTCAATGCGATAATTTGTAAAAATTCGATATGACGCTAAAATATGAGTCAGTTTAAATTGTACTTTCACAGTATCCAAACTTGACTATTATTCATATTACATCATCATGAAAACAAGTTGTTGTTAAACAAAAAAATCCGGTATTTGACATTGATATGTTTCCGTTATATTTTACTAATAGTACAACTTTTTAGCACAACTTTCTCATTTGTCAACTTAGTTTGTGGAAGGCTTGCTATAATTGTATTTTATTTGGTTTGTGGAAGGCTTGCTATAATTATATTTTACTTGGTTTGTGGAAGGCTTGCTATAATTGTATTTTACTTGGTTTGTGGAAGGCTTGCTATAATTGTATTTTACTTGGTTTGAGAAAGGCTTGCTATAATTGTATTTTACCTGGTTTGTGGAAGGCTTGCTTTAATTGTATTTTACCTGGTTTGCGGAAGGCTTGCTATAATTGTATTTTACCTGGTTTGTGGAAGGCTTGCTATAACTGTATTTTACTTGGTTTGTTGCAATTTAAATTTTGCAGAAATACATTCTCGCTTTCCCAATGTTATGTCTTGGAAAAGGTGCATCCCACAATCTGTGTATGTTACCTGCATTAAATCTGAAGGTGCTTGTACATGTGATAGCAATCCCTATCGATGAGTGCAGGGTCGATACACACATCAGCGTCTCTCATTGTTAACACTTTACTCGGAAAACATTTCAATTATTTTCCTTAACTAGATCAATAAAATTAATATGTTACCATTTGTTTCGGTTTGAGCAATTGCACTGAAATAACTTAAAAATGACATTCGGCTCCTTAATTAGGAGCATATATCACATAACACTTATTGTTATTTTGCATGAAATGATTTATCTTCATTTAATAATCATATGCCACTTGTTTATGTTTTTTATAAAGAATCGATGAGACGTAAGCTCATTTTAAAATGTTAAATATATTTAACGACCAGACTCCTCGTTTATCTCATAAACCTTTTTTTTTTTATACACTTTAATTAGTATTAATTATCGCTTATCAATTAGTGTATTCATCACAAGTGTTACCTGTACAACATGCTATGAATTAAACCGCACTGCAGTACGCAATCAAACATCAAGGTGTCAAAAGACAGCCATTTTGAACACCTGGGCGTACCTATTGTATCAAACGCAGAGGGAGATCTCACTACTTAGAAGTCTTCACATATATGTCATGAGATTTTAACATCAAGTTTATATCACCGTTTCAATTTAACTGGCCTTATTCAAACTCTCATTGCGATTAAAAATGTCGTAGAGGATTTGTGTTGACTTATCCTGAAGCATGTGCTCGGTAAAGGTCAGAGCCAGGTAGCTTTTAACAGACAGATTAGAGCCTTTCCGTAGAGCCTGCTGTACTCATTCCTATGTTACAATTCTGTTTGAATCAACGTTTTCTCACGAATTTTCTCCGTATTCTGATATTGGGTGTGGGATGAAATCCATTAAATGTTTGCGTTCTTTTTTAGTTTATTTGTCCATATATTTCTTTACCGTAGAATGACTTGCTAAGTAGACGAAGAGAGCACTAAGGCATAGCAGAATATTTACCCTACCTTGGGTTGTGTGGCTGCGCATAGTAATGTGCTTCACGTGCACACATGTAATGAAGCGTCAGATGTGTCACGTTACCTTGTACTACCTAGAAATAGGTATAAGTGGCACTGTGGGTAGTCATTCATCAGGGTTTATACACCGGCATAGTCGCATAAGATGGCAAGTCTTTAAGCTTGATACATTACACTGTTCAAGTCTGAAAGGATATTTTGGAATTAAGTCGTATATCTGCATACGCAGATTAATTATTTTCTCTCTGGAAAGCCTTGCGATTTCTGGACATTTTTATCACATCTCCTGACTGCTACCTAACTGCTTTGTCTTTTATTCCATTCCACCGATTGGACACAATGATACACAGACAGTAGCATTATTGTTGTTGTTCCAGAAACATGTGGAAGTTCTCAGTAGTGTTTCCTCGACCACAATTACCTTTATCAGATAGACGAGAATATTAATGCTGTATTCTTGTAAACCTTCACATCAACAGTGTTACTTTTGGTCAGCAAAGCCATTCCTACTCCTGCAATCTTTTGCGGATTTCTTTAGCACGATTCATCTCAAGGAAGAATCAATTGACGTATGCTTTGATTCACTATCACATGAATCGTAAAGCAATGCATTTAGTTTTGGACATTGGAAGTTAAACAAATTATCTTATCTTATGCCACCAAAGGAATGTGTGATATCAGTAATGAATGAGTGAGGGTGAGCTGACTAATGACGTGATGACAGTAACACAGCTACCCGATCACCCCACGTGTATATCAGTGTTTAACTCGATGCAGTGCAGTGGATCATTTATACTTACTTTCTTGATACTTCATGGATTGTTGACACTTCAAACAGGTAGACATCAGTGTAACTGAACAATATAAATATAAATCTTTAATTAAGTTAATATACTTAGCATAAACGTAAATAATATAGGATTATTTTATATATTTATATTCTATTGTACACTTGATAAGACTTTTATATTACAACTTAATTTCACCGTACATTGGGTACTGTCTATGTATTAACATGGTCCAATTAAATCATGTATTACGTTTACTTATATATATCACGAAAATAGACATGATGTGTATACACCTGTGAACAACATACGTGGTTAATTTACACCTCTTAAGAACAGACATAATTTGTGCACACCTGTGTAACGACAAACATAATTAATATACACCTGTGAACAACATGTACTATTTATATACACCTGTAAACAACACACATTGTGTGTATACACCAGTTAAGAACATAATTGGTTTATTTACACCTGTAAACAACATACATGATTTAAATCCACCTGTTAACATCATAAAAGCTTTGTATACACCTGTGAACAACATATATTATGTGCATACACCTGTAAACAACCTACATAGTTTGTATACAATTTTAAACAGCATACAACCGAACCAACATTCCCTGATGTACTGTATTGGTCTTAAAACAACGAAACAATCTATCCGTTACGTACTGTATTGGTTTCAGTAACACCAAGCAATCTACCCGTTACGTACGGTATTGGTTTCAGTAACACCAAACAATCTTCCCGTTAGGTACTGTATTGGTTTCAGTAACACCAAAAAATCTATCCGGTACGTACTGTATTGGTTTCAGTACCACCAAACAATCTATCCGTTACGTACTTTATTGGTTTCAGTAACACCAAACAATCTACCCGTTACATACTGTATTGGTTTCAGTAACACCAAGCAATCTACCCTTTACGTACTGTATTGGTTTCAGTAACTCCAAACAATCTACCCGTTACGTACTGTATTGGTTTCAGTTACACCAAACAATCATCCCGTTACGTACTGTATTGGTTTCAGTAACACCAAACAATCTATCCCTTCGGGACATGTGAACGTTGTTTGTAAAAATATAATCAAACCAACCATCCCTTTGAAAAGGTTTAAATTATTACGATGTTTTAAAATATCTCCCAACCAGCCATCCTCTTGTATAGATATAACCAAACCAACACTCTTTTGTACAATTGGTTTGCTTTGATAACACTAAACCAACCTTTGTGAACACGTGTATACAACCACTGCTAGTAATTCCCACTATGTAACTATTATCTGAAGATATATATTCGACATCACTTTTCTGTTGTGTAATATTATTTTTGATATGCTTAACATTATAAGATTCTGGCAATATATCTAGCTATCTCTTTCTTGATATTGTGTTCACTTCAACAACAACAGAAGTTTACATTTTTATCATCCTGATACAACCATGCGATGTCCCTATTCAATTCCATTCTGAGGTGATATGGTTTAATAACGGACAGGACAAGTACAATGGATCACTTTACCCTTTCAGGATTGGCAGCTATGCCAAAAACTAAATGTATACAGGAAAGGGAAGAGGCGCAAGTTATAGCCAGAAAACCAACGCTTGGGATCTTCATACCCGAATGTGAACAAGACGGTTCGTACACTGAGATCCAGTGCCACGCCGCCACTGGGTACTGTTGGTGTGTCACCAACGACGGAAAACCTATTAAGGGTACATCAATTAGCGGCAAGAGCGCTCCCTGTAAACGTAAGTCAACTAGAGGTAATAACAATTTATTATGATTTCCCTTCACCTGGCTTTTCTCCATAACCAAAAGCACAACGTATTTCACTATATTTGCATTATGGACACTGCTGTATTACAGCATCATGCTATTTTATCAAGCATCAAAACAAGTATCAGTGGCTGTGCTTCCAAACGTTTACTAGCATCGTGATCAAGGAAGACAGAAAAGTGTACTTGATATATAAGCAAACCTTCATGAATTTAGTGTACCACAAGCTAATCTCTACGGTCGTGATTGGTTTCGTCTACTTGACTCCTCAGAGACTTTTCTTGATTACGGGCACTATTCCACGGTTACTTGTTTCGTTTCCGGTGGGAACTATATCTTGCGTCATTTAAGAGATAGGAGAATACCAGTGCATCTTTATTATTAGTTGTATTATTACCCTTACGATTGTTTGTTTGTTAAGTAAACAAGTGTTGACTCAAGTTGATGTTGACTTGTATATATTTAGTTCTAATAATCCACCGACATATGTAATGTACTAAATCTATTATGGCTCTTCCCTCGGGAACAGTTCCCTGCTAGTATTGCTTAGGGAGGAATCGTCGCTTGATGGGCACTCGGGAACTGTTCTTCCCCAGACAACACTATAGGACAACAGCTTCATCAGAAAAGGGTCATACTACAATAATATCGGCTTCAATATTCGTCACCACTTCGTTATATTATAAATATATATTATATACATATGAAATGTATCACATATTTATAAATTTCATAGTTTTAATTAGCACAGACTATATTGTATAATCTCATTATATACACAGTGAATAAGGTCAATTCTGTTTTATCACAAGGAAATGTGTTAACTTCAACTTTACTTCAATTAAATAATTAATTCACAAACATATTCTGTTTTCATCTAATCAAATTTCACCCACGCACGTTCACTTACCATCAGGTTGAAATCAGAGATAGATAAATTACTGCGGTGAATATTTCTTAGATTTTATTTCTTAGTTCCGCGGCTTTATGCCTAAAATACTACAATTTTGCAATTAAAATGTCTTTATTGATTTTTAGCAGAGCTCATATCTATATGATATGCCACTTTGGGCAAACAAGCTTATTCTCATTAAAAACGGTGGCTATAGCAGGGGGGAAATCATACGTGCGCTTTCATCCTGGCCACCAAAAGCGATAAATATTGATGGGAAAAAATCTTTCATATTTGTTGTAAAGTAAAAACAATTTATATAACTACAATAAAACTAAACTCTATTGATCAAAGTCTTTTGTAAGTATACCATGATGGAAAGTCATATTTGTACGCTAACATCTAATAACACATAACAACCAAATATAACACAATGGGCCAACGTTAAAATATATAAAACCCTCTCTTTTTATTTTTTTTATTTTACACATTCCTGCACAACTTCCTCCGATGTTAAAACGTTCAGCCATTTACCTATCTTAATGATATGATCTGAAGCACGACAGTTGAATTTGTGGCTAATATTACAAGATGAGCTAGCTGATGAGAATATGTATTGATAGCGGGATCGGAGATATACAAATGCGTTTTTAATGTTGATATGATATGTTAAGACGAAGATAACAGTCCACTAAACACACCAAGTGTTTACCCGATCATTTAGACCGGAGGCATATCTCCTTTGCCCGAGACTGAGATAAACCAGACGTCATGTTCATTATATATCGCCTCATCAAATAGCAATCAAGTAATATAGTAGAACATTAGAAATGAATCAATTACCGACGTTCACCGGGAAGATCCTGGGCATCATACGAAACGTGCTGGGAGCGCGACTCCGTTATATTTCAAACTTTGAATTACTTATCAGTGAATAGCGTCTTTGGAATTTATTTAATAATTCGTCTTTTAATTTTGTGAAATAAGTTTTAGCATGCTTTTTCATTTTAAAATCAATTGTATTAATCAATGTATTGTTTTAAAGTAGCTATATTAAGAAAATGTTTTAATTGATTGATAAGTTTCAATCCATTTTAAATGAGTTATAAAACGATTAAACAATATATGGTGCTAATGCAATATATCGTACAGAGTAAACTTACACTTTGCATTGCTATCCGTTATAAAATGATTGTCAATTACAAAAAAGTGTTAAATAATCATTAGAAGTTTTCGTCATTTTAATTTTAATTTAATCTAATTTTTATATTCTTTTTATTTTATTTTTATTTTTATACGAAAAAGGATCAATCTAATCGAATGCCCTTTTGTCCTACAGGAAAAAGAAGGCGACCACAGAAATCTGAAAAACACAAACGTCGAACGGATAGAAGACGGATATCGCCACGACGAAAGAAAAGAGGTAAACAATGTTTTATAACGATGATGGCAGTTGTTCAATCTTAAAAAATAATATATGCTGTTAATTTTCCCTTTATTTGAACTATAATTCATGTTTTGAAACTGTTTGGGTGAAAAAGTGTTGATATATATACTTTTTTTTCAAACACAAATGGATTTTTAAAAAAATCAGAAAAACTCACTTACAGCCAAAATATCAAAATATATCTATTTCGTTTAGTGGTAGAGTGTTTTATGTGTTTATCATGCGTACGATATTTACCGATATCAGATCATTCGACGAATAAGTAAATGTTCCGAAGATACGAAATATACAGTTATCCCGACCTGATTCTTTCATAGTTCAACATGACAAAAAGCGGATTTTTGTCAAAGCGTATACAGATTAGCTATAGGAAGGATATCCCAGCACCATCACCAAAAACTGCAACTTCGCAATGGAAACTGTTTATGACGGCATGAATAAAACTTTAATAAATTATTTTTGAAACGAAAACCATACCTTACGGGATTTTTATTTACAAAATAATATAGATGTGATAAACAAAATAAAATCGACAACAATTATCTGAGTGTTAACTTCATCGGGGCTAGACTGGGATTCGAACCCCGGACTTTAGAGTGTAATACTATCGCTCTAACTGATTGAACTACCTTGTCCACGGCAGTACCCTGGACCAATAGGGTCAAATTAATCTGATGTTCGTAAGATCAATATGTGAACAAGTGGTATTTTTTTATGAATTTTCATCTCTTAAATGAGATTTCGCTTATGTGAGTAAACAAACATGCTTGTAGCCGACTTCTTACGGAGTTATATCTATTATATCAGATTTAAACAATGTCAGTATCAGAAATGTTGGAATATATGACCGATAATTGTATCTTATGCGATCATGTTAAATACTCAAGCATGTTGCAGACTTTTGACGAACTTACCCTCAAGATTTTTAAAATACCAGCATGAGAATGAATAAGGACGTGGACGATTCTTGATATAATGTATCATGTTAGATATAACGGAGGCTGTGAACACGTGCGACGACAAGCTATAGGTGACGTCACACTGACAGTGAGGTAACAGACAATTAAGCTGATTTAGAACCAGTGTTTATGTTCGCTGCTGTGTAGTGATATCCCAGATGGAGTACCTAATACACGTGGAGAAAGCAATAACCTTTCTGTTAGGTGTTACACATGGTATACAAAGCTAGTTTCCGTTTGAGTAGATAATGTTACAATCTTGTCAGTATGAGGTAATACCGCCCAGACAAACACCTGTATTAAGGTCCATATTTTTGTATGCGCACATATTAACTTTTTGCCGTTTTAAGTCTCATGGTATCCGAATGAATCCTAACCCTTCTCAGAATTTGACGACAACCGATATCACTGTTACTAGAACCTAAGGTTGAAGTGTTTTCCTTTCCACAGACAGTTTTTACACCTTATCCGAGAAATGCATAATTGATTTTGAGCTATCGATTACGTTAGGCGGTGGCCAGCTCCACAGAAAGATGGTTGACACTTTTTCGTCAAAAATTGTGTATTAAACATATTGTTAAAAATATAGGTAGGCTGATTATCCCTTCAATTGATTGGATGTCAATATATAAATACCAAACCATACAATAACACAATGTTCGCCATTGATGTTTTAATTTGTATATTACTCCAAATGATGTTTTCCCAAATAATTCAATGCACACATTATTTCAAACTATTTAAATCAAATAGATTTGTTAAGCTTTGTATTCGTGTTTTTTTTGCAGCCTGTAAATCTACCGATAGAATAGAGTTCAATCAGAACTTAGTAGCCGCCTTTACACAGGAATACCAACGATTTGAAACTTTAGGACAACCAGGTAAATGCGTATGCTAAAAATGTACTAATCACATATACAACTTTTTATTTAACTACATATATCATTTCCTCCTTAAGTTTCACATTGGCTTTTCAATATACGGCATATTCTTGCCAATGTGTTCTAAAAGGATGGCTGTTCGAAAAAGAACGTTCTTTACAGAGAGAACCGGTATGAAAGATGGCATACTAACTTGTAATAAAATAAGTGGAAGGTGAAATATAACCCTTTTAGTTATTATAATAATAGTTAAAACGAATCTCAATTAACCTACAGTGGTGCATAAACATATGTTTTATCGCGCTTTGAATGTTAAATACTCATGTTGACTATATACTTCTTGTAGGAGGTTTACCTGGAAATCCTTTGCTAAGTTCAACAGAAAAACGGGTTGTTGATTGGAAATTCTCCCAATTGGATAGAAACAATGACAACAAACTTAGAAGACGGGAGGTGCGATCCTTAAAACGAATGGTTAAAAAAGTTATAAAACCACGTGCATGTGCAAGAAACTTTGCAAAATATTGTGATTTAGACCAAAATAAGCGAATAGAACGGAAGGAGTGGTCTATTTGTCTTGGAGTCGATATCAAAAGTAAGTGATATGTTCTGAAGATATTTCAAATTTCAAAATTTATAATCATTTCATATTGTCAATTTAAACTTGATTGAACTTTATTGCTATTTTTTAAATCGACGTTATTGTTAAAGATCATTATGATATGTTACATTTCTTTGTCAAAATAATTATTTGTTTTCAGCCTGTGAATTTTAATTTATGTTAGACTTCTAGACATTGAATCTGTCTAACATATATTAAAATGCACATCCTAAAGTCTTATCCAGTCCATACATATACTGCCTTACAAACTGCTGATAGGACCTCACCAACATGTAGCCTTAACATCAATCTATCTGTATGAGCTTACACGACACATTCCTTAACCATATCATCAGTCACGGCTAGATCTATCTCAACTTGCTTTTATATTTTAAATTAACGGGAAATTTGTGGTCAAACTTTCCAACGTTTGGTTTAGAGCTAGACAATTTCAAAAGTAAAATAGTATGCACTATGTATATGTCTGGGTTGTCCCATATCTACACATTACTCTTGCTTAGGTAACCAAAGTGTCACGGAAATAGCGAAACACGGAGACACCAGTAAGTTGTTCTTTGTCAACCAATCAGCTTTCTACGTTACGACATAAGCCAATCAGCTTGAAAAATCTATACTGTCCTAAACCAACCAGCTTGCTTGTTTGGAATTTTAGTTATATGGGAGAGGATCCTGTAAACAAATCATGTTTTTTCTCGTTAAGCGTGGATATATCACGTTATAAGTAGTTCGAAAGGTCAAATTTTGTAAATAATTTGAGGAAAAACTAGATATTACTTTATTCTGGTCGAATTGATCAGCATATGTGAACACTATGATTTTATATTCACTTGCTTTTACCATAATTTGCAAGAAATTATTTTATTGAGCTGTGCTATCGCTTAAACTTCTACCAATGCTAGTAAAGGGGTATGCTCTTTCCAGCTTGCTATTTCTCCTCTATCCCTTATGTTGAACTTACTGTAGCTCTAATGTAACGTGCAATATATCAGTGTTCATGATACAGCTGTTACTGCAATGCTCATACCGACATCTTAGAACAAAAGTGTTGGCATTGCCACGTCTTGGGCATCCCATTGCGTGTATTACTAAGTCAGCGGTTAAACAGAAATATCAGGATTTTTAACGAATTTATGATTCCATTGTCACAAACTGTTGATAAAAACAGGTATTAAGTCTGAGTAATTTTGGTAAGGCGTACCTGGAATCCAAGACATGGTGTCGCCATAATCAGGCTAGATAATTGTCTCCTATTTGCTTATCATTGGTGGGTGGTATTAATATTTTCTTGCTTTTGCATAATTAAAATTGTCAACCGTTTTACTCTCGGAATCTACATTCTAAAGTGTCGTCGTTCGTACTTCATGATTATATATAACACAAAAATGAATGTTAGTAATCGTTTTGGACTTTGAGTATTACAAAGTTGTTTCTCGCTTTGTCTTTTTGCAGATTTCCGTAAAAGTAAGATTATGATATTTTCCCTTTTAATTGCGCTACAAATACCGAACAATTGAATTTATACCCTTTGGAACATTGTCGGTCTATTTATAACTAAATGTAACATTTAAGATATGACAAATCAATCGTTAACGCATAGTGTAGTGGGGGTTTCGGGTCATCAGCAAGTTTCACCAAGAAGTCAGGATAATGATACGTTTAACCTGCTCTATTCACTCTTCCATTGCACTCCCTTCAGTTATCTACGTTTGGTCATGGGAAACATTTCTCATCTTCGCACATGGACTGGATCAGACTTCAATTTTTATAGGATTTCACGTATTAAATTGTCAGTCTACAATGGAAAAATAAGAAAGGTTATTTCAAACATACCATCGTAAAAAACCCAATACGAATCAAAAGATTTATAGTTTGTGTTGTATCAAAACTGTAAACGAAACAGGATAGCTGATGTTTATAAAAGTATCTTGCAGTAAGCATTTTATAGTAACAAGGGAATATCCACTACTTGTTTTTATTGGTCTAACCCCGTGAAAGTTAAAACAATTAATATTGGAAGCAAAACTTTCTTTGCTTGACTAAGGACACACACGTTTTCGAAAGCTCACAAAATGACGTTTCAATTACTGTTTGTGTTCAAAACAAGCTGAACATTAATTATTGGAATATACAAGTTTTCATTGTTAGACTGATTGTTACGTGAGCTTCTATGACGTAATTAGTTTTAATCAATACATACACATGTTGATGTGCTGCAGCATTCCTTTCTTGTTATGCATTGTGCTTGTCATATATCCTGTTACCTCAAACAACTTATGCTATAAAATTTCTTTTGCTATTTCTTTTATTGAGGTATATATGATCTGCACAATAAATACAGAAATTGATGTTTCAGCAGAATGAACTGTGATTTGGTTTGTGTTGGATAAAATTAATTGCAAGTTTTTTATCTTTATATATTATATATCTTTTTTCCGCTGTTAACATTTTCTGTGAGCGTGTTACTAGCCTAAGCAAACATTGAAATAATCAGAAAAACACAATCATTATGCAATTTAGCAGGTGACAATTATCAAATATGTAATTTTTCAAACTCAGAAACAACGAATACCATTTTCTTTTATTTTGGAAATATATATTTCATATATAAATCCTTGCAAAATTGAAAACCTATTTTTGATATTCGTATATTTTTCATAACGTATGTCTACACTTGACATCTGCTAGATTGTCACATAAGTTAGAGTTCCGAATTGCTTGGTTTGCGGTTGCACTTTCTCCGGCTTGTAACGCTTTTTGCAGTCTTCTTCACTGATGTCCCAGAATTATATCGCCAGGTTTCCTCCAATAAATGTTAAATGTTGACCTAATGTATATCATTCTATTTGATATCAAACAAGAAATTTGTTTTTAAAAATAATTATATTGATATACGATGTCTTAATGTGTGACAATACAATTTTCATGACAAATTTGAAAATTTGCAACATTCTTAATAATCTTTATCTGAAAAATATTTGTTTCGAAAAGCTTTGTCGAGTTGGTATATCATAACCAATAAAAAGGTCCTTTTTGTGAAAATTTTAAAGTTCACGTAATCAGCGTAACACTTGCTGAATATCCTTCTTTGACGACGCCCTCAGACAATTTTATGGGACTAAATTCTGCTTTTATCTTTTCTTCTTTTTGGAGGGACGAGAAAGGTGGCAAACGCTTGTGAGTGTGATAGAGGAACAAGAGTGAACGAAACTTGTGAATGTGGTGAATCTGTGAATGTAACAAACAAGTATGAACGGAGATTGTAATAATTGAATGATGTTGAATGTGTTGAATCTGTGAGTGACAGAGGTGATTGCCAACACAGAATCTGAGCGAGTAAGACCGTGTGACAGCAGTACGTGTGTGAGTGAGAATCTGACCTGAATCGTTCCTCCTCCTGTCCGTCTGGACCTTACTAACACTAACAGGCTGCAGGCCGGGTCAAGTGCAATACAACCCTAGCAATAGGAACAAGGGTATTTACACCCAGTTCATAATAGTTTCTTTTCGTGTGTTTCTATCTCTGAACTCAGAAGAAGATCAGTCTCCTCAGCTGACACCAGAGCCCCAAACCATCGAAGGTATATATCACTTTTTTCATTATTTACACCGTCATGTACATTATTACTTTTTCTCCTTATCGTACAAATTAATGCCACGTGGTACAGTGTGCTAATGAAGCCTACCACATGTCTGGTCATCGTGTATCCTGTTGTACAGTAATCTTTACTGCATAGTCTTACCACCTCTGATTGAACATATGTCACGTGGTACAGTATCCTACCCGAGATACGACCAAATAGTTGACATTGTCACGTGGTACAGTATTCTATCCTAGAGAGAGGACCAAATATCCAGCCTTGTCATCTGAAACATTATTATATCCTAGAGATTCAACCAAATAATCTGTATGTGACCTCGTCATTTGGCACAGTACTGTATTCTACCCTAGCGAGTCAGCCTTGTCACGTGGTATAGTACTCAACCCCAAAGTGTCAACCTTGTCACGTGGTACTACTATATTCTACCCTAGATATTCGACATTGTCACGTGGTAGAGCATTCAACCCTTAAGAATCAACCTTGTCATGTGGTACAGTATTCTACCTTAGAGTTTCCACTTTGTCACGTGGTACATTATTCTACCTTAGAGTGTCCACCTTGTCACGTGGTACATTATTTTACCCAGGAGTAACCACCTTGTCACGTGGTACATTATTCTACCTTAGAGTGTCCACCTTGTCACGTGGGACATTATTCTACCTTAGAGTGTCCACATTGTCACGTGGTACATTATTCTACCTTAGAGTGTCCACATTGTCACGTGGTACAGGATTCTACCCTAGAGTGTCCTACATGTCACGTGGTACAGTTTTCTACCCTAGAGTGTCCACATAGTCACGTGGTACATTATTCTACCTTAGAGTGTCCACCTTGCCATGTGGTACAGCTTTCTACACTACATCGTCTAATACATATCTGATCGATTAACCCTCTTAGATACAGCTTTATACAGTGTGTGTTGGGATCACTTTCTATTTCAAACATTGTGAAATATAAGCTTGTGTTTTCTTCACTAGCCAGATATGCATATGAGTAAACACGTTCGCGATGTTCGGTTCTTCTCCGGTCTTAGGGGAAAAATTTCCCACTATAATGTTGGAAGTTTTGAATTAAAGAGAATCGGGTTGGTGTTAATTTTTGTATACCCTGTTTTTATATAAGTATATGATATTCTGTATTAACATTAATCGTGTTTTCCTCTGGAGGAATATACCTTTGAAAACAAATAGGGTATAACCACATGTACATTATAACAATTACTGCTTTTGAAATCTTTTCAACATGGAAGAGTTTATGTCACCACGCAGGTTTCAACATTAAAGCGACCTTCCAATCATATCCCTAAACCCCCAAACAAAACAACAACATGTTTTAAACAATGTTGTGCGTATGGATAAAGTATTACAGAGATTTTACAAACGACCTGGTGTATGTAAACTGTCATATTATTTTAATCAAAATATCATCATTATCATTAACAGCAATGTATTTTATTTGCTAAATTTATCAAAAATATTAAATTAAAGAATCAGAGTTTCAAAAGTCCTGATTGAAAAAAGATGTTCGAATGTTCTGCAATGACTTCTATTTCATTTCTAGATTTTACAAAAGCCATTTATTTCATTTATGTGCATTTCCTTTTCTTTTTCAACAGAAAATTAGACAAATATATTTCTAACTTTTCAGCCCCTAGCAACACTGATGAGTCAAAATTATCTGTATGGTGCAATGACATTTTTTTCGGCATTTTTCTTTCTAACGCCAAATATAACAGAAGCAATTAGTTAACGTTCATACATCACCCTAGACACAGCTTTTTTGTCAAGCCATCTAATGCATATAGAGCCATCAGTTCAGGAAAACTGATGTCATTTTGTATATCTGGGAAAAATATCGAAATTTTAACTGGAATATGAAATATGCGAATGATTAAATCGTAAGAAGAATTGAATTTGTGTTGGGTACTGCCATAGGGTACGGCTTACTTCCAAGTTGTATACTACGTGTGACCCCATTGGTTTTCCAATCGTGAACTTTCCATTCTTATTAGCAACCTCCCTTTTCTCCATCTGCGGTGTTTACATGTCGCAGGTTATTCGGTATAAACGGCTCACTCCAAATACCACAATGGTGCAGTACATGTTTACTTTAATGATTGCCTTGACAACATTTATTATGGTTAGGTGTCTCCTTAGTTTGTATTTCAGAGCTTATTCTGAGGATGAGAAATCGGACTTTATCTTCTACCTACATATATGTGGGCAGTGTCATCGATGAAAACAGAATATGCTTACTCTTCTGGAACACTTGGCCGTATCCTCCTTCCACTTTTGCAATGATCCCCCTTGAAGATTTGCCCTTTGTCTATATTTTGCCCTAGTTTTATCGATTTTTAGATCGAATAACGCTTGACGATATTTTCAAACTTCATTATTCTTTTGTTGTTTCTTTATCATAAAACAATATTCGTTCATTTTTATTTTTAGATAAAAGAAATCTTCTTTCAGTTCTGCAGAAAAGGGCAAACCTAATTGACCAACAACACTGGCAAAGAAAGCCGTACTGTTTCACCTTCATGTTTTGTTCTTTTTGGAATGGAATATAATACTCCACATATGAAATATGAAACGGCAGGGGGTTTTTTTGGGGGGGGGGGGGGGGGGGGGTTCAGAGAGGATAAACAATAATATTCAATTTTACAAATCGACATGATCATATCCATGTTAGATAATTCATTTCATTCACGTGTGTTTGTGTGTATAACACCTGCTCAGTAGTATATGTAGTGAGAACACCTTTCTCCGTAATACTCGCAATCATTTTCCTTTGACGCCCCACTACGGGTATATACTCATCCAGTCCGTTTTCCCTCTTGTGTTGTGCAGAGCCTGAACTTATAATAGACTTCCCTCCACGACTTAACCGGTGGTCTACATCCGGGCTCAATCCCCGCCGTACCAATACCCCAGCGCCTCCCATTGACACGGAAGACAGTAAGATGTTCATCGTTGTTATTTTAAAAAGCTTTTATCGTATATTTCTTTTCTAGAAACGAAATTTCGTATTTCAAATAATCTTAGAATGTTCTGGACTTATTGCTTGGCGAAGTGATTTCGATTTTCTATGATTATTGTTTTTATTATCAAGTTCAAAGCAAGGCAAATCCTGTGCAGGGTTATGCTGAAAAATAAGTTATACTTTTAATTGTCTAATGTTATTTAGCGATAGCTGTACGCCAATTGGCATGATAAGCCGTTAAACTTAAATTGACCATCAACAATAGTGGGCGTCACCCTGGCTTTCGATCAGAGCTTCATCATCAGATTCATAGAGACTCAATATCACCAATGACTCGCGTGTTTTTACTCAAATCGAGTTTGATTGACGTAAGATTATGACTTATTATTTTCAAAGAAATCATACTATGTAACCAAACATTTTGTAACCGTTCTAAAGAATGTAAGAGTACAATCCCAACCAGCACTGGTGATATTTTGGATCATTGTGTAATCACTTACAATAGTTTTGCTTGATGTTGCTTGCGTCTCAGCCGTGTGCATATGCCAGTGACTTCCATTAGAAAGGTGCAGGGCTTTCTGACAGAGACACATCCACCTTAGCTCAGAGAGTGTTGCTTTGCCTCATTTAAAAATTCATTAAAATAACTCTGCTATCAAGCGACATATGATTGGAGTTAAATTACCTTTTGGAGATTTGAATATAAGAACAGTACAATAAACAGCGTTACATGTTTCGCTACTCAAACGGTTAGAACATGGAATGCCATTGTGATGTTTGGTATACCATTGTGATGTTTGGTATATCATTTTAATTCAGCGAGGAGAAGTTGCCGGGATGAACAGTCTGCGGCTATGCGACCACATGAACAGGACCCGGATGGAGGAATCTTTATCCCGGTGTGTACTGACGAAGGGAAGTGGAACCGAGCGCAGTGCCACAAGTCGTCCCAATACTGCTGGTGTGTAGACGAGAAGACCGGCTCGCCCATCCCCGGCACGTCCACTCACAAGATACAACCCCCATGTGTCATGGAATCCGCGAGAGAAATGAAAGGGAGCTGTTTTAGTGTGGGGGGGGGGGGGGGGGGGGAGGGGTTCAGAAGCAACTTCCATAAGCGATTGTCGCAAACAAAGTTTTAGAGGGTTTGTAATGGTCAATTATTATTTTTGTGGTTAGCTACACGTGTGTATCCTCTTTGTCATTAAAATATCTAGAAAAGGTTATATTATTTACATACATGAAAAAATGCAACTTTAATAAACGTTTGTCGCAGCCGAAGTTTTAGACTGTTTGAAATTGGTAACCTTGTACGTCTCTTATAATTCATAACTTTTGTGGTTAATTCGCTGTGTGTATCCTCTGTGGCATTAAAATTCATTAAAAGGCGACTATTTGCATGATTGAGAGCGCGGGGCAGTTGTTCATGTGGAAATCTAAACAAATGAAGATTAATGAGTTTTCATCATCTTGTCTATCCTTCTGTCCGTTTTTGACTGGGACATGTTTAATTTAATTTTACTTTTCTTAGAAGTTAACAGTGTATTTTAATCATGATACTGATCAATTGCCTAAGGACTATTTATGTTATAACCTATGTTTTGTTATTCCTGGAATTCATTTAAGAATCCACAGTTCATATATTCACAGGCTGCCCACTGCCAAAGAAACGACGGTTTTTGAATTTCCTCCTAGAACAGCTTGCTCAAGACATGGATATATACGTTTATAATGGAACTGATCCAAGGTAATGTTGTAAACGGTATCTTTTGGTCTGGCAAAAGTAATGTAATCAGGGTTGCCAAAATTTTGCTTAATCGCAGTCGTTGTTCATGGCCAAATGATCATTGGATTTCAAAAACAAAACTATAACTGAAAACCACTCATTAAAGATCCCCGCACTACTGCCAAAAACTGAAAATATGTATTCGAAAGTTCATTTTTCAAGCATGGCAAAAGCTTCGATAAATCATTTCTGAAAGAAAGGATACCTAACGGGACTTTTATTAAAATAATAAACCGACGAATAATGAAAAAAAATAGTGCTCTGAGTTCGAATAGGAAGTATGGCTACACAAGGATTCCCGAACATCACATTGTTATTCTGTCTACCTGTGATACCTAGTGGATGGAATTATTGTGGCTTATGTTATGTCCAAAATGAAATTAAGGGCAGGTTACTGTATATACGAAAAACCACAGTGCAGTGAGATAGAGATCCTTAAAAGAACGTGAATCTTTTTTATGTTTTAGTTTGTGATTAACGACTTCAATAATACATCTCTCAAAGTACACTTCTCTTTTATTTTACTTTTATATAAAGATATAACTATTCACTTGACGCAGAAAAGTGGCAAATTGACCAAGGGGTTTTATCAATGTAATCAATTAAATAATATCTGATTAATGATATTTACACCTGATTTAGAGGTCGAACAAACGATGACCCTGATGCAGACCCGCTTCTACCAACACACCGGGGTACAAACGTCGTCAAATATCCGCGAATTCTAAAAACCAGCGAAATTATCGAAAATGGTATCTGCTTTTACGGACTTCAACTCAGATTATCACCGGACAACTGGAAAGTCCATGTAAAAACAACACTTACATATCAGTTGCCAAAACATGTGTATGTGTACACAGTAGGTGATTAATTATGTCTCCCTTTCAAATGAAGGGAGAACATTTTATTAGTACTGGTTCTTCTTCTGGTTCTTCTTCTGGTTCTTCTAATCCCAACGTGTCCGGGCCATAACTTTTAAACCGTTAAAGATATCTTGGTGAAACTTTAGGTATACATGCATCACCCACAGAAGGTGTGTAGTGCACTAGAATTAGGTTACTGTGACCTTCACCTCAAGGTCAAAGGTCAAACAAGTGCAACCTTTTCAGTAAATTCTTGTCCGGCCCGTACATTTTAAACTATTAAAAATATATTAATCAAACTTGGAGTATACCTGCATCACCCACAGAAAGTGTGCAGTGCACTGGAATTAGGTCTCGTTCTTCACTATATACAGAGCTATGGCCCTTTGTTTAATTTTAATACCGAAGTTTGTCCGGAGCATAAGTTCCATGTTATTTCACCTATGTTGACCAAACTTACCATATTTATGTATCTTGGGAAGGTGGAATCTCGCGCACTAAAATCAGATTTTGTGCCCCACTACATACAGAGTTATGGCCTTTTGTTTATTTGTAATGCCGAAGTTTGTCCACGGCATAACTTCCATGTTATTTCACCTACGTTTTCCAAACTTGCTATAGTTTTAACGTATCTTGGGAAGTAGGAGTGTCGCACTTTAAATTCGGGTCTCGTGCCCCAATATATAAAGAGATATGGCCCTTTGTTATTTTTTATACTGAAGTTTGTCTATTGGCTAATAAGGGGAGACATATGTTTTTGTTTACAAAAACAAAATTCTAGTTGATTACAGTTTACTCCTACAAAGGTACATACACATTTGATTTTCTTTCGGGGAAGTCAATGGCGCATGACGACACACGGGATCAGTATTTCCAAACGGTTTACCTGTATTTCGAGGATTAACCCTTAAATGATGACACTCAACATACTTTGCACGACACATGGGATTCGAGTGCACAGCGAAATTTAACCCCCGCGAATATGTACTGAATACGAAACCGCGAAACATTGACCCCGCGAATTTAAAACGCTATACAGTAATCACTAAATGTAACATCGTAGTAAATGGTAGCAGGTAAGGAAATAATCTTATTTAGAATCTGTCAAAAAATATCATTGGCTGTGTAAACAATATTGTTTCAGCCTTTCTACACTGTCTGACGTATTATGTATACAAGCATTGTCGTTAATGGTAGCAGAGTGCAACAGGGGATCATGCCAGCTGTTTGACATTCTATTCACAGGGGAAATAAAAAAAGGTGGACATGATCACAGACAATAACTAATACCAGTGCCAGGTTATCACTAATCCTGGACTTCTAAGGTTCCATCACGAAGTCGCAGTTTGTATTGTTCGGGATGGCATGGATGATTTCAATTTATCATAGAACTAAATTTTTAAATTGCATTTAACCCACCACGTTGTTACATCAAACGAGTACGGTTGAGTACGCTTTTATAGTGGACGGGCACCTCAATAGAACAAATCAGTCGCGCTATATTAGATCCATTTTAAATTATTTTTGTCTTAAAGAAATTTCGTCACATAGGTAGACGTAAGAAATATATGTTTACACTTTCTGTCGAACGCTGGATATTCATTTCCCTTCGCGTGTATGCTTGGTACGAGGCGCCCAGTCCTGGCTGTCGTTTTCGCAGGTGTTAGGATAAAAGGAGGAATGCTAAGTTTACACAGGTGTATGGTCAGGCTATAAAGATTGAAGGTAACACGATCTTGTCAGTTGATTCTCGGTATGCGAATGTTGTGATTTACTCGCGCCATTGTATGTACAAAAGCTATTGGATTTGAGGGTTCTCTGGAACAGGTGTGTGGAAGGAAAAACACCAGACCAGGTGTTTTACCATGCGGGACCTCTGTATTAAATAAATATATAAGCTAAGTTAGAAATCAAATATTGTCTGATTGCAAATATTCGTGTCATTTACAAGAGAAACATTGGTCCCTTTACTATAATATGGTTGACATTGTAATAAATTGTATATATGCGTTCGATCAAACTTCGTTATCTTGGATACAATGTACACGTTGTACAGGAGACTCCTAGTTAGCGTTATCATTGAATTTTGACACCTGATTGGCCAAACGTTACAATTGTTGCTATTGGTCTGTGTGTTTGCAATGTTGTCTACAGTTTTAAATGAGACAACGTTATACACATAAGAATTTTTGAAAATGAAATTGAACATGAAATATATGTGTATCCCAGGGTTTGAATATAAAAAAGATCTAGTTGTTATCATGTCCCAAGTGCTGAAAGCTTATCCCAGATTAATTAGATACCAAAAGCCATATCAACTTCAGGTACACATACAAGGCAGTAACAACACTGAAATTGCTACCACATCCTATTCGTCTCACTTGAGTGGTCAGGTGAGCGTGCTTTAGCAACATTTTGGAGAATAGTGAAGGGGGTGACACCTGCATGTTGAGCCAGTGAGGTAGTATCTATCATACCAACTAAACAAGTACAAGTCTTATCTTTCAACACGTGTACACAATCCGATAACAGCCACGGAACTACCGATCTCAACGTCTCAAAACAACATCAAGAGAAAAGAGTCGAGTAATAAAGTTTATGATCCTTACTTTAAGTAGAGACAACGAACCACTCCGTCAACATCACAAAATTTGATATATAATCACCTTCTGATAATTAATTATAAACTGTATAGTTCAGTATGTATTGTATTCTATGTTCTGTATTTCTATCTTGTTTTTATTCATAATGTTTTCAATTTACTCTTTGCGATTAGACAAAAATGACTTGATAATCGCTTACTGAAATGTAAACGCTGATTTTCGGTAATTTAAGCATTATTTTGATTTATGTTATGAATTATAAGAAATATTTTTACCATTGCTAGAATAATGTTCACCTTCGCTTACATTAAACCATTGTCAAACAGTTTACTGAGTTTTTAACCGTCTTTATTACTATTCCGGCAATCTTCTTTTGAATTATATTTTACTGGCGGCATTTATAAAAAGTTTTATAGAAGAAAAAGATCAAAGCGCGTTCTAAAGTGGTAAAATAAATGAATTAGGTAGCTTTTGCCATAGAATAACAGTAACAAAAAAATCTCCCCTATATAAACATTTAATGTACAATTGTATTTCACGCTTTATTTTTATTTTTTTATTGTACTATTTTAATTTTAAGTTTATAATGCGAAAGGTATGGAAATTCTTACAAGTCTTCTTTTTCTTCTTCTTCTTCTTCCTCTTCTTTATAAACTCTATCAAAGTCAAACCTTTATTCGTTTCGAAATTCGTGTAAACCATTTCCCAAAATATCTTTTTATATATGTGGGGGTGTTAACGCAATAGCTTATATAGTTTTTATAAAGCGGATTGTAAATCATTTCATTTCATTTATTATTTTTTCCAGCAAAAGGCCAGAGTACGACCCAGAACTGACAGTGCAGGAAAAGGCCGCCAAGTGGAAGTTCAAATGTTTAGACGCTAATGCAAACAACGTGAGTGATTTAACTAATTGTCATAGAGTTGGTGGCTTTCCTTGTGATTTAACTAATTGTCATAGAGCTGGTGGCTTTCCTGGTGATTTAACTAATTGTCATAGAGCTGGTGGCTTTCCTGGTGATTTAACTAATTGTCATAGAGCTGGTCGCTTTCCTTGTGATTTAACTAATTGTCATAGAGTTGGTGGCTTTCCTGGTGATTTAACTAATTGTCATAGAGCTGGTCGCTTTCCTTGTGATTTAACTAATTGTCATAGAGTTGGTGGCTTTCCTGGTGATTTAACTAATTGTCATAGAGCTGGTCGCTTTCCTTGTGATTTAACTAATTGTCATAGAGTTGGTGGCTTTCCTGGTGATTTAACTAATTGTCATAGAGCTGGTCGCTTTCCTTGTGATTTAACTAATTGTCATAGAGTTGGTGGCTTTCCTGGTGATTTAACTAATTGTCATAGAGCTGGTCGCTTTCCTTGTGATTTAACTAATTGTCATAGAGTTGGTGGCTTTCCTGGTGATTTAACTAATTGTCATAGAGCTGGTCGCTTTCCTTGTGATTTAACTAATTGTCATAGAGTTGGTGGCTTTCCTGGTGATTTAACTAATTGTCATAGAGCTGGTCGCTTTCCTTGTGATTTAACTAATTGTCATAGAGTTGGTGGCTTTCCTGGTGATTTAACTAATTGTCATAGAGCTGGTCGCTTTCCTTGTGATTTAACTAATTGTCATAGAGTTGGTGGCTTTCCTGGTGATTTAACTAATTGTCATAGAGCTGGTCGCTTTCCTTGTGATTTAACTAATTGTCATAGAGTTGGTGGCTTTCCTGGTGATTTAACTAATTGTCATAGAGCTGGTCGCTTTCCTTGTGATTTAACTAATTGTCATAGAGCTGGTGGCTTTCCTTGTGATTTAACTAATTGTCATAGAGTTGGTGGCTTTCCTTGTGATTTAACTAATTTCCATAGAGCTGTTGGCTTTCCTTGTCACTTGATATGTCCTCTGTTCCTTGTTTGATTGGTCCTTTATTTACGATGAGTTTTAGTATTTTACTAATATATCGCACTATAGGAGTCTGTGTTTACTTAACAACAACAACAACAAAAAGAATAAAAACATAACAAAATACTATTAAACACGGTTTTAATGAGAAGGAATTGTTTTTGCTTCTAATGGTCCATACAAATTAATCTCGATCTAATTGGAGACACTGAACATTAGACTATAGCATGACACTGAAATCAGTGTACTTCGAACTGCATTTGTGACTGTAGGTACAAATTTGAGATTTGGTCCTACAGTAGGCCTCTCAAATAACCGCCAGAACAGAGAGAAATAGAAATGTAAACTCACTTCAGTTGAAGGGAGACTACCCTTATATCAAACATAAAATAAGGACAAATTCATAATTTTATTTGCTTTATTTTGTCAGGATCATATCTTTACTTATAATATATAATTACTTATGCGTAAAGTCATTACATATCATTGATATATAAACTTGTGCATAAAAAACCCTGATAAATACACTTGTGTCAATTTGAGAATGTGTGCTCCCTAACATACTTTATTTTGTTTGTACTACGTGTACCTATGCATTGTGACAATATACAATAACTTGTATTTTATTTTATCTATGGATACTGTATTGTTTGGTCCCCAATCATGATATAGTTTGTGTGGTAGCCATGGAAATGGATTCTATTTGTTGCAGATGTTGGAGCGTAAAGAGTTAAAACAGTTTCGACAGGAAATACCTAAACGGAAGGATACGAGAAAATGTAGTCGGAACTTCATTCGCTATTGTGATGCTGACAGTAACAGAAAAATAACCTTAGATGAATGGATAGATTGCATGGGTTTAAAAGGTAAGTACAGGTAAAATCATGCTTAACACAAGTGTTTTACATAACACTGAACTAGGTCGGTGTCAGTCTAACCAGTAGAACTGTGTTTTGGACAAGGAAGTTATTCCAACTGTGTAGACGATATTGGTTGTTTTCGGAGAAAACCTCTCCTTTACCTAGCCAGAGAACACTTGTTTTAAATATAATAGGGTATAACTAATATTCAAAAACAGTAAACTCCTCGGCTAGCGTAAGCCGGAGGCAGAGTATACAGTGACAGAATTGTTGGCCAGTGATACTATGTGTTTGGGAACAACAACAAAGAGAACAAATATAGCAGAAGTCTGAAGCATGAAGGAAGATGCTGAAGCTGAAAAAAGGTTTAATGTATTACTAGATTGAGACAGTATCGGTATAATGTATTACTGGATTGAGACAATATCGGTATAATGTATTACTGGATTGAGACAGTATCGGTATAATGTACATTCTGTATTACTGGATTGAGACAGTATCGGTATAATGTATTACTAGATTGAGACAGTATCGGTATAATGTATTACTGGATTGAGACAGTATCGGTATAATGTATTACTGGATTGAGACAGTATCGGTATAATGTATTACTGGATTGAGACAGTATCGGTATAATGTATTACTGGATTGAGACAGTATCGGTATAATGTATTACTGGATTGAGACAGTATCGGTATAATGTATTACTGGATTGAGACAGTATCGGTATAATGTATTACTGGATTGAGACAGTATCGGTATAATGTATTACTGGATTGAGACAGTATCGGTATAATGTATTACTGGATTGAGACAGTATCGGTATAATGTATTACTGGATTGAGACAGTATCGGTATAATGTATTACTGGATTGAGACAGTATCGGTATAATGTATTACTGGATTGAGACAGTATCGGTATAATGTATTACTGGATTGAGACAGTATCGGTATAATGTATTACTGGATTGAGACAGTATCGGTATAATGTATTACTGGATTGAGACAGTATCGGTATAATGTATTACTGGATTGAGACAGTATCGGTATAATGTATTACTGGATTGAGACAGTATCGGTATAATGTATTACTGGATTGAGACAGTATCGGTATAATGTATTACTGGATTGAGACAGTATCGGTATAATGTATTACTGGATTGAGACAGTATCGGTATAATGTATTACTGGATTGAGACAGTATCGGTATAATGTATTACTGGATTGAGACAGTATCGGTATAATGTATTACTGGATTGAGACAGTATCGGTATAATGTATTACTGGATTGAGACAGTATCGGTATAATGTATTACTGGATTGAGACAGTATCGGTATAATGTATTACTGGATTGAGACAGTATCGGTATAATGTATTACTGGATTGAGACAGTATCGGTATAATGTATTACTGGATTGAGACAGTATCGGTATAATGTATTACTGGATTGAGACAGTATCGGTATAATGTATTACTGGATTGAGACAGTATCGGTATAATGTATTACTGGATTGAGACAGTATCGGTATAATGTATTACTGGATTGAGACAGTATCGGTATAATGTATTACTGGATTGAGACAGTATCGGTATAATGTATTACTGGATTGAGACAGTATCGGTATAATGTATTACTGGATTGAGACAGTATCGGTATAATGTATTACTGGATTGAGACAGTATCGGTATAATGTATTACTAGATTGAGACAGTATCGGTATAATGTATTACTAGATTGAGACAGTATCGGTATAATGTATTACTGGATTGAGACAGTATCGGTATAATGTATTACTGGATTGAGACAGTATCGGTATAATGTATTACTAGATTGAGACAGTATCGGTATAATGTATTACTAGATTGAGACAGTATCGGTATAATGTATTACTGGATTGAGACAGTATCGGTATAATGTATTACTGGATTGAGACAGTATCGGTATAATGTATTACTAGATTGAGACAGTATCGGTATAATGTATTACTAGATTGAGACAGTATCGGTATAATGTATTACTGGATTGAGACAGTATCGGTATAATGTATTACTGGATTGAGACAGTATCGGTATAATGTATTACTAGATTGAGACAGTATCGGTATAATGTATTACTAGATTGAGACAGTATCGGTATAATGTATTACTGGATTGAGACAGTATCGGTATAATGTATTACTGGATTGAGACAGTATCGGTATAATGTATTACTAGATTGAGACAGTATCGGTATAATGTATTACTAGATTGAGACAGTATCGGTATAATGTATTACTGGATTGAGACAGTATCGGTATAATGTATTACTGGATTGAGACAGTATCGGTATAATGTATTACTAGATTGAGACAGTATCGGTATAATGTATTACTAGATTGAGACAGTATCGGTATAATGTATTACTGGATTGAGACAGTATCGGTATAATGTATTACTGGATTGAGACAGTATCGGTATAATGTATTACTAGATTGAGACAATTTCGATATCATGTATTACTAGATTGAGACAATTTCGATATCATGTATTACTGGATTGAGAATTTAATAGCTATATGCTTTATAAACAGATCGCAATAACCTAAACATGCATTTTGTTTGGTTCCAGATAATACCAGTTTTCTGCCACAGAATCCAAACCGGAAAGGGCCTAATCCATTCAGCCATTATCTGAAACCAAGTTAGCAAAGTAGATAAACTTCAGTGTGTCGTCAACGCCTATTAGTTGTACACGTGACCAGTGTGTACCTTAAAATGTTTAGAAAATACTAAAGGAAAAACCTGATTATTAGGGAAAAAACATGTTACCTTACAGTGTGCTGTATGTTGGCGGTCGTTACTGTTGTTCTGTATCCTCCTGGAAACTGGAAAGCAACAAACGCGTGTCAATAATCGGTATTGTCAGCGCTTAAAGTGTGTGTATACTGTCATGTGTTTACAGTGTAAATAGTGTCAGTGTTGTTAGTGTAAATACTGGCAGTGTAAAAGTGTGAAGAGGCTGTAGGTATTCAGAGTGTAAACACTGTTCAATGATAACAGTGTAAATACTGCCATGTGTTAACAGTGTAAATAATCACGTGTAAAAGTGTACATACAGTCACGTGCTAACAGTTTAGGTATTGTCACGTGTCGTTAAAAGTGTAAATACTGTCAGTGGTCAGCACTATCTGAACACGATATGTATGGTTCCAACTGTCGTCACACATACAGGCGATGATGAAAACCCACGTAAGGATGTGTTAGCTACAGTTAAGGACTTGTTGGCTACATGTGTTGTCTCAAAGAACTAAGGCACATTTAAGCTACACGGGAGCGTTCTTAAGCTAAGTTTATTTACTTGTCAATAACACGAAAGGACAAAATAGCTACACGTGAGGCCGTAATAATTACACGTGAGGCCGTACTAGTTACACGTGAGGCCGTACTAGTTACACGTGAGGATTTGTTAGTTACACGTGATATGAAGTTTTGCTAGTTACACAGGAGTACTTATTTTGTAATCGTGGTGTAAAGAATTGTCAACTTCATGCGATGAATTGTCACGCGTGAAGACGTGTTACCAGCGAGGTACTTTACGTTAAGGCCGTACTGCCGGACAATAAAACACAAGGTGGAAAGAAGTGAAATCTGAATTTCGACAAGTGAGAAAAGATTTGATGGAGAGTTGGAGAAAACAAGCTTTCTGAAGGAACTTGACGGTGAATAAATACACGCTTGGAGTTACAACACATCAAAACTTATTAGCGTAACAAAGCAATGCTGTGCGCGTGTGTAGACATATGGACTACTTTCTAACGTGTGTGTGTATGCAACAAGGACACTTATCCTTCCGCCCTTCGCCTTTTCAAAAGCACGCTTATTTGTGTATATGTTTACATAATATATCAATGAAGAGTCCCGTATAATTATTATAATGAATTATTATGTAATCTTGTTGTCATTGTGACTTTTCAGACTTCGGAAGCCTAGCTGTCACCATACAGTATCATCCCGGCCCAAAATTACACATACGTAACGTTGTCAGTGCGTGATCCTATGCATATGTATGTTGTATTGTTTTATAAAGTGCAAGAGTTTCGTTGTTTTTAGCTAGTGCCAAAAACGTTTTTGTTGATAAGAGCAAATATCCCTGACAGCTTGTACAGGAAGAATATGGGAATACGACCATTGGCGCAGGGACTTTACCAAAGCAACTTCTATTAAATAAGTAGTCGTTCCTAACTAGTGATGGTTGTTAACATATTTATGTAACTCGAGTTAGTTAATTTTCAAATTGCATAAAGACATGTGGGTTTACCAAGTGAATTTTAAAACTTGAAAATTAACTAACGAGAGTTAGATCAATCAGCATGAGTTGAAGGACCTTTGTCTCCCACAACGTTCAGATAGTATATCTAGAAATGAATATGTTTCTCTCGAGAACACATTATTCCTGTTTCTGAATGGGCAAATAATTGCGATAATCTATGACGTCACAATGGAATATGAAGCCGCTAAGCATTTTTACCTGATACTTGACGGCATAATTATAAGAGTGTGACCAATGAGGTAGGTAACCAAAAATGTTTACCAACTCCTCGCAGATTTATCTCATGAGTTGGGAGTAGGGAAACGTAGTGGTTGTGGGAGAAATATTTCCTAAAAGTAAACATCTAACATGCTTTAAACTGCGACCTAAATCGAATATGTAGTCCATTATGTTTCGTCAATCAACAGTATATACATTCACCACAGTACTGTTCACAATAGCTATACTTTATAAAATAAACGACAGTCTCGCCAACTGTTTTAAACTTCGTATCTATAGAAACAACAAGTATTGTCTTTTTTATTTACATGTTGTACGTTTTTTTCTCATTTTCATAGCAATGTTGAGAACAAAATGGTCAAGACAATGTCAAATCAATCTGTTATTGTCGTTTACTTCACATTTTCGATAATGAATTATTTTGTTATAGATTCAGATATATTGTATTAACGTGTGAGCATGGTTCAATCGCCTCGTGAGAGAGAGAAGTATTTAGCTATTTTCGAGGTTTTCGTAGAGAAAGAATTTCAGTAAGTTTAAACGCTCATTAATGGTCGTTGTCTCATTAGAGAATAATTTCGGTGTTTTAACAAATTTCATTGATACAGTCGATGCCTCGATAACGCATGTTTTTTCAGCAATAGTCAAGTTTTTTTTAGAAAATATTTTTCAGCTTTGGTTTAGGTTTTATTAATTTCAAGTGTTCAATGCAGGAGAACCCATTTCAGTAATAGTTCTGATTCCAGTTAAAGAATGGATTTTAAAGAAAAGTTGTGACTTCGTTAAAGAACAATTCTCATTGATCGCCAATTCTTTGTTAGAGAACCATGTTTAGTATAGTTCAAATACAATGGTACAGAGGCTATTTCAGTAATAGTCGACAACCTCAACGAGACTTTAGCGATGTTCTCACAGTTCAAGTAATGTTGAAATATTTGTAAAGCTCAAATAACATTCAGGTTCCAGTTCCACGAAGGAAATTCATTGAGAATGATTCCATTAAAATTATTGCTAGAGCTGAGGAAAAGTCTACACTACGGAGTTGCCCTTAACTCTAGCAACGCTTTCCACTGAAAAGGTTAAGTTAAGGAATTTCCTTGAGTTGTTCGTAAAACTGGGGCTTGTAATGTTCAAGAACAAATTCATAATCCCTCCATTGCAGTAATGGTTTAGTTTCTGGGTTCAAATTTAGATAATAGTCCAGACTTAACTGACTAATTCACCAAATATTAAATTTTATACAATGCATCCAAGTCGTTTTAAAACTTTAATCCAACTTGCCAACGCAAGGAAAAGTTGTTCCTTATGTTGCCTGTATTTAAACATAGTCAGCATTGGATCATTTTTAAATGCCAGTGTATATCTGTAACGTAACCTTGAAAGGAGATGTCAATGATTTAGATTCTTGTAACACGATATGACAAGATATTCACTCCGATGGGTTTTGTAAAACTGACATGAAATCGTGTGTACTTCATTAATTTGTAAGTTCAAATGTTAAAATAACGACATCGGCACTATTTAACGGTTTGCATTTTATGTTTTATGTCAAGTGACAATTGATGTAATTTCACATATATATATATACATATTGTGACAATGATTGTATGACCATGATGGACCCTGTCGTCTGTGTTACGTTTCCAGTACGGGACTATGCTTTAAACTTTGATCATATAGGTAATACATTTGTAGTGTAAATTATAAAACAAATTCATTAAAATCCTGGTTGCTATTTATTCATTAACAATAATCGTTCAAACAAAACTTGTCGACAGTTGTGTGCAAAAAAGAAATATTTCAATCTGTTCAAAATCTGAAGACAAGGAATACACCTGCTCAGTTTTGAAGGCGTAACAGAAGATTTTGTTTTGTTTTTTTTTGTTGTTTTTTTGGTAGATAAATGAACTGGGATAAAGATTTTGTAGTATAGAGTACCAACAGTGCTACCTTGTGACTGGGGCTCAGTATCGGACTATGACCACACAAAGGGTCTGTCAGTCTGATCACGGGTTTGAAAGAGCACGCATTAATTGTATAGTAATGTAATGATTTCTCGTAGTTTGGTCGTTTTTTTCTTATTTTTTGCAAATGTAGTCTTTAACTTATAAAAAAAAGTTACATGAAATTGATTAATGCTAAACGACACAGTGTATGGGTTGGTACATTACACAAACTGGTTAAGCATATGTTATATGTTATCGCCTACCTGTGGTATTCGTGTTAAAGAAATCGAGGCAGACCTCACTGAAAAGTAAGGATCTCCGTACCACTGGCAAGAACTGGCTTGATGTATACTTTGAAAAATCACTTCCTGAAAGAGAAGATTATCATAGGGATTTTCATCAAAACATATCAGTAAATAAACAAATGATAATAGTTAGTGTCCTAAGTGTAAAGTAAATCAGCGTGAATAGACCTCGAATCGAACCCTGGACCTCCAAGTGTTGTATACTATCACCACCGGCTGAGCTCCGGGAATCTAACCCTGGACCTCCAAGTGTTGTATACTGTCACCACCGGCTGAGCTCCGGGAATCGAACCCTGGACCTCCAAGTGTTGTATACTGTCACTCCTACCGGCTGAGCTACCTTGTCAACGGAATTGTCTTGAACCAAATGTGCTATAGATGTATGTCCAAATCGAAATTAAGGAGGAAATACTCTATTTACTAAAAACCACAGTACAGTGGGACAGGTATCACACTGTCGTTATCAGGAAAGTGCATGGGGTATACACATTTGTGTGAGTACACGTACACATTTGTGTGAGTACACGTACACATTTGTGTAAGTACACATACACATTTGTGTGAGTACATGTACACATGTGTGTAAGTACACGTACACATTTGTGTAAGTACACATACACATTTGTGTGAGTACATGTACACATGTGTGTAAGTACACGTACACATTTGTGTAAGTACACATACACATTTGTGTGAGTACATGTACACATGTGTGTAAGTACACGTACACATTTGTGTAAGTACACATACACATTTGTGTGAGTACATGTACACATGTGTGTAAGTACACGTACACATTTGTGTAAGTACACATACACATTTGTGTAAGTATATATCTAATGGCAACAATTATAAAAGTACATTAGGTATACAAATACGTGTAGGTACACATACAGTTTGATGTATATATAAATGTACATTAGGTATATACATATATATATATGTATAAATATAAACATACAAATATTATACATTTATGCAATGTATATAATTATATCAAAATGCATACATTATGTAGGTATATGTGTACTTTATTTTATTAATACACATACGTTGTATGCATGCATCTATTATATACATCTTATGTATGCTATAATATTTTTTGTTTCTATTTAATCTGTACCGTTCAAATACAAAAATGGATGTATTTGTAAATATTTTAAATAAACAGTCAATTTTTTTTATTACGTATGTGTATGTATGGAGAATGTACACTTCAAATATACAAATAAACCTGCATACACATTACATAAATACATTCAACTGTAAATGTATGTAAATTACGAATTACATGCAAGACGTATTTTTAAATACACCGGTTCATTTTACAAGGTATTAAGCAATGATAAACAAGTGATTATGAAATGTTGAACAAGGCTATTGTTAAAATGTATAATGTGAAGTTTGACCATACATTCATTGTTAATATAGCTACATTATTATTCTTATCATTCTCTGCATTAAGTAGCATTGTCGTGATGTCTTTGTTGAATTAAAATTTGTTCAGTTCACCTGTAGTGTTCATAGAGGAATGACAATAAAATGAAAGAATAAACAAATTATTGAATCTATTGTTGACGTTTAATTGTTTTTAATGTTTTTCGTGATTATATAAGTTTAAGCAGGAAAGTTTGGACGATGGTATGTGTCAATTTTTCGAGGAAAAAACAGAGAAAACAAATAACTATTTGTATTTGTGTTCTGGTGTTGTAGAACTTTTTTTCGGCGGACTGGAACCGAAGGCTTTTAATAATGAAAAAAAATATCTGAAGATTTGTATTGCCCGCCATTTGCCATCTGCTTATAATAACTATTTAAATAACACGCACCCGAGGCACATCTGTTTCTTTGGAGTCTGTGCCCATATCTTACCATTCTGTCATTATTAATTAAAAGACATACACAAATAATTGAACATTGAATGTACTTTTTCAAATTCTCCATGGACT